CAAGACCTTAAAGAATGCGAAACCAAACCACAGCTGGTTAATCAACAGTGCGTAGTGTACCAATTTAAATGTAACCTGTGCGATACAGGGAGCTATGTTGGTTACACACGTGGGCATTTATATGCCCGCGTGGATAGCCATAAGAGCACGTCATCTTCAGTACGCAAGCACTACGACAACGACCACGCAGGTGCTGTCCCTGAGGACCTTCTTAGCTGTTTCAAAGTTCTCAAGAAGTGCATGAACAAATTCGATTGTCTTGTCAACGAGATGCTTTACATCAAACAATTAACACCGAGTTTGAACGTGCAAACGGATTCTATCCATGCTAAAGTATTTGTGTAGCTACCTCCCCTATGCAAATTAGTTGTAACTCTTGAACTCGCATTTGTTAATTTTATTTTCATTCGTACCCTTGATAATGGCGTCATGAAGTCGCCGAAACGTCGGGATATTATATCGTTCGTTTTTACCTGTCTATTTGTTAATTTTAGCTTCTGTTATATGAAATTGCATATTCTCCCTACTAGTTATGGACCCAAATTGACTTTCGTCCTACTATGTGACTCCATAGCTCAGCTATAAGTGAATGGTAACGGTATCGCAGTTTTCCTGTGTTATAACCTCACTGAGGCCTTAACTGTTTTCAGGCTTTTTGTCTTAGTGCATCAGTAAGGATTTAAGGTCGAACTTATTTTTAATACAGAGCATATCTTCTAGAATGCCCAGTTCTTCCCTCATCGATATCGCACGGTTTTGCTAACGGTAGCAGCTCATTGGAAGGTGCTCAGTACAAGTTCAGTTGTCAGGAGGGATACACTCTCATTGGTGCGGACGTATTAGCCTGTACGGATTCTGGCGTGTGGAATGGCTCGCTTCCAACCTGTCTCATAGGTAAACGTGAAATTGATGGACAATTGCTTATCTTACTTCCCTTTCCCTAGATAAAGGGAGTTTGCAAGATATGACATATTTGCATTGAATTCTCAGCTTCATGTACAGTTCCCATACTGCTGATTTGCGTGGAGTCCCTTTGCAGCATGCCCGAAACGTATTTCATTGTAAAAATTCTGTTTCTTTAGAACTTTATAATTTTCTTGTCTGTTAACGAAGTACTTTGGATGCTCAAGTCGCACTTATTCAGAAATGAAAAGTCAATTTCATTCTCTAGTTTGGTCAGGTTTTGATCTTTTTATTTTCTCCCTACATCTTACCGTGAATTTAATCTTCAATTACCTTTTCACGCAGAATGCCTATGAAAAGCTTCCATACCCCATAGCTATGTTAATAGTACAGGCTCAGTTCAAGGATCCGAGTATAGTTTCAGCTGCAATCAAAGCTATTCACTTTTTGGTGAACACATATTGAAATGTACGGCCGAATGGAAATGGAACACCAGCATTCCCAGTTGTCTTAAAGTTTTATCTACCCATTTTATTAGCACCAGTTCTGTCCGTTTTGAATTATACCAATGGTGTTTCTTTATCCTTCACAATGGTTTGAGACCACCAGACATGGCGTGAAAGAATACGTTTTCTAATCTTGTAGAGGAATTCTTGGCAGAAAAATGTTATTTTTATTTTAGATTCAGGTATCCTTAGCCTGTATTTTCAATTTCTTTATATGTTTTGCCCCTGATAGAATGCCCTTCACTGGCTTCTGGCATTGATAATGGCTTTAAACATGGCCTTGGGTCGGTGGAAGGCTCCTTAATCTGGTTTAGCTGTGCTAGCGGTTATTCCCTTGAGGGAAACAAATACCTCTATTGTGACGAAAAAGGCCAGTGGAATGGTACGATACCTTCTTGTTTAAAAGGTAAAGTAAAATGTTTCAAATTTAAATTTTGACGAAGACATACTGTGTACAAGGTAAAACGTGACTTTTAAGAATAACTCTTCAAGCAACCCATTTTACTGCTATACTTCTGTTAAGATTAATTATCCAAAACCTGTGTTTTTACGCTTGACGGTGAACATCAATGCGTCAGAAAGGTTGCATACTAACACAACTATTTATCTTTCTTAAAGAGTGTCCTCAAATGAACAGCACCCTAAAAAATGGGCACATTTATGGTAATGGATCCACATCAGGTGCAGTGTATAGCTTTCTTTGCGATGAAGGATACAGCATAGATGGAGAAACATCGCTGCGCTGTAATGAAAAGGGACAATGGAATGGTCACATTCCTGTATGTTCAAGGGGTACGTTCAACTCTCAATTTACTTCTTGATTACATTTGTAACTGCCGACTAGATAGGCATATCTGCTTTGTTACAATTGCCACCCAATCGAGTTGTGTCCCACAAAAACTTAGCTCAGTGTCAGTAGTAGCAGCAATTTGCACCAGCAGCAGTAATAGGTGAAAGAGTGGCATTAGCTAGAATCGAATTTTTGGACTATAACTGAGCTTTTTTGGTATCAGTAGTGGTGGATGTTTTGCTGGTTGTGAAAGCGGTGGTTCCATAGTGATGATTATTGCTTGAATTCGGTGGCTCTAGGAATTTTGGCAACGATGGCGATTTGTGCAGTGTTGATAGTTTTGATGGCAATTTAGATCACGTTAGTGAGAGTGCATGATGGGGTTTGCGTTATCTTGGCGTGAACGTATGCAGTAATAGCAGAGGTGGCAATGATTGGAGAATAAATAAAAATACCTCTCATTTGTAATTCCCCTTCATTGTACAATTTTTAATTTACTCCAGCTAGCACAGATAAAGAAGGAAGGGATAGAAACAGCTGGTACTTTTACGCCCTGATTTGTGCTGCAGTCCTAATTCTGATAATCGCAATTGGCCTGTTGGTACTTTATCGTCGAAGGAGGTCAGGTCGAAGAGATAAAGCAACCACGAATGGTAACGAAGAGACAGAACTGGAAGTTATGATGGAACCTGAACTACTCGTGGATAGCAAACACAAACCTATAAGAGTTCCACTAGACGATCGCCCTGAAGATCCGGCTGGTGTGGTGTAAATGATTTCTGTAGACCCCTAACTATGCTTTCTGAATTATGGAAAGTGTCAGGTCTTTGATGAAACTACCTTAGAGCCCTGGTTGAAGGCTTGAATATTCCCATTGCAACTTACGCAGATAAAGAAGAGGACATCAAGAGACCCTCCCTTAGTGCTTCTCTCAGTATTTGAAATGTCTGTACAATTAATTTTTTCAAGTGGCGACCTCAGTTATCCTAAAGAGGAATATAAATGAAAATTCACTCACAGCGATGAGCTCCATTAACTTCCTGCTTGGAATCAATCGATTTTGAACATGAACAAAGATATCGATACTAAGTGAGTAAAATATGCTGCATATCGTGTCAGCGTCTCTAAGATTAACTAACGAGAAGCTACATTCCATGGATTTATGATTTCAAAGTAAGCAAAGGCTTTACACGCCCTGTCAATATTTATTTCAAGGTGTAATTTATAATGATGTCAAGTAAGCGTGTAGAGCTTCATTGTTCAGGAAAATAGTTTTAAGTGTTAGTTGTAATAGAAATCTCCTTCTTCAAGGTTTTCATTGAAATTTTCAACCTTCAATTCAAACGAAGCAAAAGAAGCCTTTTGATCTCAGCGTTTATTTCTGAAAAGAAAAAACAAACAAAGAGACTTTCTACGTTGTCATGTTCCTTTTGTAAAAGATACTATTGGTTTCCGATTCGCCATTAATCACTTGTTATGTTCTGCTTTAATTATCAGCTAATAAAAAGCATAAGTCACCTTCTAGATCTGAGTGTAGAAACGCGAAAAATTAATTGTTTCCCTCCTATACGTATCGTATGCCCACTATATGGAAGGTGAATTTCGCCTTGTTTTACATTTTTGCCATTTCTTTCGAAACTCATCCCCATAGAAAAAAATATTGTTATTCTCTCTGTCACTGGTTATTTCATCAAAAAATTTTTCTTTTCAGTTTTCCAGGTCCCAAGAAAGAATAAATTGAATTTAAGAGCTTTGAGGGGGCCAAGAGCCTTTCAGCAGAACATGAGCACAAAAGACCATTGAAACATGAATGAAATATATTTCGCGTGTGGTCTGCCTTGTTTGTTCCCTTGAAGCCGGTTGCTTTAAATCAACGATTGGTCGCTAGCAGAGCATTTTGCTCACGTCGAAAATAACAGGCATATCAGCCTCGACGAGTAATAAGTAACAAAACCGAGTGTTAAGTAGGATAGTTGAAACATGAGCGTATTTGAAGAATTTTGCAAAAGGCGACTGAACGATGTTATCAACATTGTCTCCCTACATCGTAAATTTACGTTATCAATTTGTGTATTTTAGTTCGCCTTTTCTCCGGTGGCCATTGTTGGAAATGTCCTTGCAATTCGAGCCATATTGAGAGTCACATCGCTACCCGCGTCTTTTAAGAAGCTTCTTCTAAGTCTTGCTGTCTCTGACCTTGCAGTGGGATTGTTTTTACAACCCATGTATGGCATCATGGTTGTCTTGGAGTTGAATAAGGGGATCAGTCAGTTCTTGTGTCCATCTGTCCTGACAATTCAAATTTTCGTTACGTTATTGGTGGCAGGAGCATCTTTCATGACTATCGCCGCCATTGCACTGGACAGACTCCTCGCTATTTATTTACATCTGAGATATCAAGAGCTTGTTACGCCAAAACGAGTGGGAATTCCTCTGGCTCTTCTCTGGATTGCAGCAGCTTTTGTGGCACTAGCTTTTATTTCACTGTCGGACCTTTCTGACTTGATCTCTGTTATAACTGAAGTAGTGGGATTAGCTATCACAACCGTGGCATATTTTTATCTTTACAGAGTCGTTCGATATCATCAGAATCAAATTCAAACCCAGTGCCAGGTTCAAGACCAAAATACTGTCCAATTATCTAGAGAGAATAAGTCAGCTCTGAATACCTTATACGTGTATGTCGTTTTTCTCGCTTGCTATCTTCCAGTGTTATTAACAAGTATCATTTTGATGATTGATCCCTCGAATACATCGTTCCAAGTGGCCTACATCATGTCTGGGTTCACAGTTTTCCTCAATTCGTCTTTAAAGCCATTTGTGTATTGTTGGAGATATCGCGAGATTCGACAATTTGTCAAAAACAGCTTTAAAAGAATTGTCGACATATCGTAACTGACGAGGAAAATAATAAATCTACAGAGGGTGTAAAATATTATCCTTCTTGGAAAGGTATTTAAACAAACTGGAATTGAATCTCTGAAGCCTTACCACTAAGCTACAGAAAATTCTGTTAATTAAGCTGGGCATTTGCCAAGATCATTTAATTATTACTTTATTTATTATTTGAAAAGTCTGTATACTTAACGTTAATTTTAGACCAAGTAACGAGCTTATCTTAAAGAGAAACTAACGGCAAATTCATTGATAATGATGAGTGACATCGACTAACTGCCTTGAATCAATCGAATTTGAAAATTAGATCGTCACACTCAGAAACGTTTTCATGTCTAGCAAGTATACGCTGAAATCTGCTGCTGGTCGCGTTAGTGTCTCCAAAGTTGAATAGAAGGACAGTAAACTACGTTCGACTACTTAATGATTCCAAAATGAGCAAAGGCTTTTCACACATTATTTACATTTATTTCATTATTCTATTTATGATAATGTCCAACAAGTGCGTAGAGCTACATTGGACCAGAAAAAACCTTTAAGCGCTGGTTATCATGGAAAATCCGTTATTTATAGTTTTCGATCTCTTATCGAAACAACATAAAAAGAAGCTCTTGATCTCAGTATTTAGTTCTAACAACCTCATTTTTTCCATGGGTTTTCAATATTTTGTTTTGAGTTTTTTTCTAAGGTAATAATGGCTTCAAATTTACAAATATTTACTTATTATGCTCGGTTATAGGTAACGGCCAATAAAAAGCATCGGTTTTTGAGTGAAATGGAAACTTTTGTAAACTAATTTCTTGAGTCACAGGAGGTAGTATCGGAAATTATGTGAAAAGAGGAGAGATACACTTTTGAAATGATAAATTGATCTGAGCTAGTAATCAATAGGCTAGGGAGCCGTACTCACATTGATTTATGCGCATGCGTTAGCTATATCATGTTGCTTAAAATAAATTGATACTGAGATGGAATCGAGGTGGCTGTGAGCCACTCATCTCAGAAAATGTAGTGTTCACCTAAAACGCGCAATTTTCATCTAAGAATCGATTTTTTCTGTTCATACGTAACATGGCTGCTTTAAAAATTTCATCTTTGGAGTGAACGAAAAAGAGATAAAAGTTCCGGCACAAACCCAACAGCGAATCGCTTCGATTCCGAACGATCTGATGTCAAACGTACAAGAACCGTAGGAACAGATAAAGTTTATTGGCTGATTGATCAAATACAATTATCCTAAGTAAGCATTGGCGGCTGAATCGATCAGTAACACTTTTCCGGAGGAAACAAATTCTGTGCTTTTCCGCGATAAAAGAAAACGTTTTGAGTTTACTGTCTCACATCTTTACTTTCTTTCTGTCATAAACAGGTGCAGTCACATAAAAGGCTTTCTTAAGTACACTGTTCTGAAATAAAAACTAATAGAGCTTTCTTATCAGATGCAGAACCGTCAACGAATTGATTTTGGCACGCAAGCAACTGTGAAACCCTTGCGAACTGGTTGACAGATTTACTAAAAAGTTTAACAGGACGTAATGGAAGGAGCGAGAGAAGGAGTGACACTCAAAGTCTTACCAAAAGTCATTTTCTGAGTAAAAAAAAGGGCATCTGTAGCATATTTATTTAATGAAAAGAGGGTTTTTCTGCAAGTGCCAGCTCCCGCTCTTTGCAAGTAGACAAATTCTATCAAGGCTCAGGCTTAAAACAAGCTAATTATTCGTGTGATCTTGTAAATCTAATCATAAAAAACATAAAATAAAACAAGCGGCGAGCTTTTCATATAATTTGTTTTAGTAAATAATGCAATTTCATAAACGTGTATATTTATTCGCGATTTAATTGAAATCTGAAACTGTCTCGAGAACTCCCGACCTTCCTCCGTGTGACAACTAAAAAATATCCCTTCCTTCCAGCTTTCCTGTCATCTATTTGATAAAACATTTAGATCGACTTTTTGGCAGGCATCACAGCTTATCATTTTTCCCATCTGAGGTGTAAAAAGTAAATTGTTGCCGCCGTTGTAAATTGTTTATTCGTTGCTTGCAGGGACAACTTGGCTTTGTTTTACATATCCGCTATTTCTCACGAAAGTTCCCCTACAGTACAAAATGTAGTAGCCTCTAGCTATGTCGCTGAATATATCAATAGCAGACTGTTCCTTTTAGTCTTGTAGGTTGCCGTGGTAAATTAATGGAAGTTAAGAGCTTTGACGTGCTCCAAAGCCTTTCAGTAGAACAGGCAAACAAGAGACTTTTCAAACACAAATTGAATATAATTTGCGTGTGGTTTTCCTTGTTTGTTGCAGTTCCATTTTAGCGGGCCGCTTTTGTTTTTATCCAAACAAATGAATAGTTTTTTTTTTCTTGCTTGGGATTGGCTTTACCATTTATTTTGACAAATAAGTTAAAACATCTTTTATAATGTTAATTCTTTCGGGCACATTCCTTTTCTCCGTGTCAAGAATATAAGGTGAGTTTGACAAACTTTTCCTCCAAATGCTTTTCATTTCTCGGCAAAAGTTAATGTATATATTTTTGATTGTTCAATTGTCACTTAAAAACTTTTCTTTAAGGAAATGGAAAGTTTATTTTGTTTACATAATACTACACTGTAATTTATCTATCTCAGCCAAACAGGTGGAGATCCTCAAACATCTAAACTGACTTTGCTTTGCGATTGGTCGCCAGGTGAGCATTTACTTAAGAAGATAATAACATGGACATCCTGCATATCGGCCTTGACAAGTAATAAATGATAAACAAGTGAGTTAGGGTTGGAAGGTGAAACATGGGCATGTTTGAAGAAGAATGCAAGAGGCGACTGAACGAAGTTGCCAAAACGGTCTCCCTTAATAATCAATTTATGTTGTCACTTTGTGTGTTCTACTTCGCCTTTTCTCCGGTGGCGATTGTTGGAAATGTCCTTGCAATACGTGCCATATTAAAAGCCGTATCGCTACCACCTACTTTCAAAAAACTACTTCTAAGTCTTGCTGTCTCTGACCTTGCAGTGGGATTGTTTTTACAACCGATTTACGGCGCTATCATTGCGCTGCATTTGAGTAAGAGGAGCAGTCAGTTCTTGTGTCCTACTGTTCTGACGATTCAACTATTCTTTACGTTTTTGGTGGCAGGCGCATCTTTCATGACTGTCACCGCCATTGCACTGGACAGACTTCTCGCCGTGTATTTACATCTGAGATATCAAGAGCTTGTAACGCCAAAGCGAGTAGGAATTGTTTTAATTCTACTTTGGATATCTGCAGCTTTTGGAGCATCAGTGTTTATTTTACTGTCGGACCTTTCTGACTTGATCGCTGTTATAACTGAAGTAGTGGGGTTTGCTATCACAACCATGGCATACTTTTATCTTTACAGAGTCGTTCGATATCATCAGAATCAAATTCAATCTCAGTGCCAGTTTCAAGACCAAAATGATGTCCAAATATCTAGAGAGAAGAAGTCAGCTGTGAATACTTTATACGTGTATGCCGTTTTTCTCGTCTGTTACCTTCCACTTTTATTTTCGAGTACTCTTTTGATGGTAAATCACTCAAACACATCATTTCAAGTGGCCTACAACATATCTGGGTTGATGGTTTTCCTCAATTCGTCTTTAAATCCATTTGTGTATTGTTGGAGATATCGGGAGATTTCGCAATTTGTAAAAAGCAGCTTTAGTAGCTTTAAGGGAAATAAAGATTTATCGTAAGTGATGACCGGAAAATGATAAACTGAAATACGAAGAAAAATCTCAAATTTAATACAAATTATTGAATTATGTTATTCTTCTTCCAACGAGCGTGGGACAAAGAAAAAAATATAATCCCCATGAGGAATAGAACCACAAATCTTTGGGGTGCCGAGCTCCAGTCCTCGACGAGAACTGTGTATTGAATTTGGACATATTCACGAGCGACGTGTTTCCTGCAAATTGCTATGATCAGCAATGGCGCAGGGTTTGACTTCCTGATCTCTCTCTCAAAATTTGATAGCAACATCTTTGATAGTACCAGTAGTTAAATTGTAAAGCTAAGTTGCGTGATCTGTGAATACTCATGAAAGAAAACTTCAGGATTTCCTGACTGACACTCTAATTTGCCTTTTAAATTTTTCAAGAAGGTTTTTTTTTATTAGATAGTTGTAAATATCATGCTTTTTATCTATATGCTATTGACAGCCCTTAATTAGTAGTAACTCGTTAGAATGAGATGGGAATTTATTAAGATGAGAAGTTCCTCTTAATCCTCAAGGAAATTGGTCGGCTGTAGCGGATATGAAAAGGTGCAGCGGATATAAAAGAGATTTTTCTGGTAATCTTATCGGATGACGTAGCATTTTTAAGCTGTAAATAATTGAATTGCCATTACTTCTATACAAAGATAAAAAGTAATCAAGTGTTGGCAAACCAAATTGTCTTGCAACGTATTTCACTCAGTGTCTGATCCCATCACGTTTTCAGCAGAAAACTAGGCATCATAAATAATTCCCCCAACAAGCCCGCGCGCAAGTAATAATTCTGTTTTCTTTCGTTGAATTTTTTCCCATCAATTGTCGTTTCGTTGTGAAACCCGCGCACGTAGATCATTTCATCATTCTTAAGTTTATACAAGCTGTATCTGGCCTACGTAATCCATTGGCTTACGACATGGATTGTGTCACGTATAGGAAGCAAGGCAACTGACATCAAATAGGAAGCAGAAACTATTTCTTCACTCAATAATCCAATACACTTCTAACATTACGTGCAGGTGATCAGTAGAATAGGTGCTCATATAAGAAATTAATTAAGAATATCCTTTATATAAATATCGTAACTAGAATAATTAAAGACTTCGTATAAATGCAAATCTATCTCCCCATGGTGATAATTTTCGAAGAGAAAATGCGTTACGTGTGGTCATGTAATATCCTCTACAACTTGCATTTCATTGTCAGTATAATTTATAGTTCTATTTTCCTGTCAAGTCATTTTGATGGGATTTCCCTTTAAAAAATTTCAAATGATTATGGTCACCGTCAAAAAATTGTGGTCAAAATTTTCAAAAATTCGGGTTTTTTGCTCTTTGGTTAGAGAAATGATCTAAGTTTAGTTCGTCAAAAGAAAGATTCATAGAACCATGCAATAGAAATATCGAAAAAGCCTCACACGATTTGTTAGCAAATCATATGCTGAGTATACGGTCCTGTTAGTTTAGATCACCGCGGTAACGCAGAGGCTGGCTAAGCAAACACCGTCAGTTTTGTCTTTAAAGGCCTGCACGTGCCTTCCAAAATAAAAACTGTTAAAATTTTTTGTTATTTTCCAGAATCTATACTTTATAAGCTTTACAGTGATGTATAGTTTCTATGGTTTCTTCTTAATTCGCGCGTGAGACGTTTTTTTCGGAGGACACCTAATTTTGTTGATAGTAACCTTAAAAGTGTTATTAAAGAGAAAGGTAAATTTTAATTTTGTTTGAAGCGAACGCACGGCAAAGAAATCTGAAATGAGGATTCCTTACGAGGATGATATAATAGAAACAGTCTCCTTACGTCCCTTACGTCCATTTCGTTTGAATTGACCAGCCGAGCAGAAATCGCACGTAAAATTATGAGCAGAGACAAACCTCGTCATTTTCATCAATCTTCTGTTTGTGAGCTCATCGCAGTAGGGGAAGAAAATTTGAAAGGCTTGGCTATTCCTTAAAAAATTTAAAAGGTGGCCAGTTTCACAACGCATTTATACCTTTTGATAGTGTATATGTACCTGATGTTGGTACTGGCTTGGGCATCTAATCTGTACCGAATGGGTAAATCTCGAAGTTCTCAAGTTTTAAAATTGTGACGGAAACAAGCTCTGACACGTACGTAGCTGCATGAACAAGGATAGTCGTAGCGGGAAAAGTCTCTCGCCCGATCATTGATACATTTTTTAATTATTATTTTGTAGAAGATTTGTGCTCTTGGAAGCTCAAATCACTTGCATGATATCAGCTAAGCAGTTATGATTCTAAATCGAGAAATCGAGCAGTGGAAACACCACGATGTGCGAATTAAAATTAATGAAAAAAAAAAAAACCAAAAACGAATAATTTTTTCGGTGAGAATGCATGTAACTACGCTGTAGGGGCTGATTTGTGATTGACCTCCCAAGTCAAACCTGATTGATCTTTTGCCAGCGTGTGTGATGTTTTCTTATAGTATATCGGACGTCTACACACCCTGTTTTTGACTTCAAGATGATTTGATCACCTGCGTTCTCATGCTAAAACATAGCAAGAAATAGTACTCTTTTCTATCGGGTCACGTTAACAATGGTGCACATTGATTTTATCTTAGCATGAGACAGTGACAGGAAAAATTGATCCAGTTTTGTGTGATGTTTCATCTTAATTTCCTTATTTTCCTTTCGGTTGCCATTCGCACAGCGGACACCACATGATGTAATGCTGGGCAATAAGAGAAACTGGAATCCGAGGCCTATTTTGTCCATATGTTTTGTTAATCATGAAAAGGCGTTGGTGAATATCTGAAAGTCATAGTTTTGAACTGCGGTTAAAGAACGAGTATGAGAGCGATCCTCGCAGTAACGAACACTACTTAAGCAATAGTGAAAATGAGGCCTGTAAAAAAATCAGGCCTGTACGGGACTCAAACCCATGACCTCTGAGATGCTGGTGCAGTGCTCTACCAAATGAGCTAACAAGTCAACTGGGAGCTGGTCATTTTGTTAGTTCGTAATAAACCCGTGAAGAGATGAGTCAGCACCTCACGGGTTTATTACGAACTAATATAGGAGTTACTATTTAATGCCAGTCAGTCCTGTTTGTGTGGTTAGCTATCCTCGATGATCCATCAGAAATACGCTTAGGCTTTCTTGCATGATCACTGGCATTTATGCAAAAGGTTGCCTTATAGAAATTGTTACAAAATGGCGAATTTCGCGATATTGCCAATAGTAAATAACTGGATTCACAGACGAATTTAAGATGACCAAAGTGCCTGTAGCGTAGAAGGCTGTTACTGTAGAGGAGTGTACCTTACAAATTGCTAGAGGAACACGACTGATCAATTGTGGGAGATAGCACAATAGAAATATAACAAAAACATAAAAAGCATTTAAGCCGGACTTTCTCTCCTTCGCAGCTGCTAGTGTTTCCTAATTTTTAGCTTGCGTTTGGCAATCTGATTTTTGCGATGGTGAACGAGTTTGTAGAGTTAGTTTGTAGAGTTTGTTTTGTATGCTATGGCCATCACAAGAAGTCCCGTAATTTTGCAGGCTCGTTATTTTTGGGAAGTTTTATATAAGATAAAGTTGCGCCAAGTGACAGGGGCAACCAAGCATGTTAATATCTGGACTTTGTGCTTTGCAGCGTGAGGCAATTGTTATGTTTGCGTAGGTCCTGGTGCTGCAAAAAAAACAAAAAAAAAAATTAAAGAGTTATACCCTGTTGCTTTATCTTTGTCAATGGGAGTAGTTGTGATTTAGTTCTAGTTTTGTTATTAAGGCCTTTAATTATTTTGTAAAGATGTTACGTGGAAAATTCATTCACTTTGTAACATATCAGAGCCTACCTGTCATAAAGTTGAACTTCCTGACAAAATGTTTTTTTTCGCTAATTTCTTTTGAATGACATGGGCGCACGTAAAATTCATGAAAAATCTATTATTTATTCTTTTGCTTTCAGATTTTCAAGAAATGTTGCTTACATGATAATACCTAACTTTGTTTCTATTGAATAGTCTTCAGTAACCTATACATATGAGGATAACTGACTTTTACCTTAAGTTTTACACTATTTCTTACTTATTTTGTCTTTGAAATTCATTTTTTCAGGAAAGTCCTAGCTTTCAATGATAAAATTTATATTTTTCAGACAAACCACTTCAAAATGAGATATGGTAGGTGTTACTTCTGTAAATGTATGTTGAGGTATTAATTAAAACTGAGCGTGGACAATTTTTGCGTTTTTTTGGTTAATTTCTTAAGTAATGACACGGGAACACATAAAAATTGATAAAAAATGTACTATTTATTCTTTTGCTTTCAGATTTTAAGGAAATGTTACTGACAAGTTAATAATGAACTTATTATATCAAATGTTCTTCAGTAAGCTATACTTATGAGGATAACTGACTTTTACCGCAAGTTTTACACTATTTCTAACTTGTTTTGTCTTCTAAATCTATTTTTCAGGAAAGTCCTGGGGTTTTCATGATGAGGTTTATGTTTTCCTGCGAGGCCCATTTTATACACTTCAAATTGAGATATAGTAGCAGTTACTGCTGTAAATATATTAAAGGTCACAGGCATAGTAGCCAAAATCAAAATAATCGAGCAAACAAAAATCTCTGTGAACAGTCAATTCATAGGAGCCACAGATCATTCAGACCGTAAAAATCTAGGATCAAAAATATGGCCAGACCTTGTGCTCTACGGCGGGCATTCGAATCCCGATCGCCCGCGAGATAGGTGGGAATGCTAATTAGTATACTACCAAGGATCATATTTAATGCAAGGATAAGTCATAAAGATATCAAAACCAGGATTAAATGTTGAAATTGGCAAATGATTTGTGAATGCAGGGTATTGTATCGGCTGTTTTCCAGTGTATCTTTCATCTGTTGCATTGATACTTATTTCCTTTCATTAAAATGAATTCAGTCTGTCTGTCTGTCTGTCTGTATGTCAGTCAGTGAGTCGGTCAAAATTTGGAAGACAATCAGATTGTCCTTAATATTTATCCTAGTTCCTGTGTTAGAAATCTCGGTGCATGGTTTGATAATAAGTTGTCTATGTCAACGAACGTTAATAAAATTTGTAATTCCGCGTTTTATCACCTACATAATATTAGGAGGATTAAGATTTATTTATCTCGCGATTCGTTATTAACGCTTATTCATGCATTTATCACTAGTCGTTTAGACTATTGAAATGGACTTTTGTATGGCCTTCCTAAGTCGCAAATAGCCAAATTGCAACGTATGCAGATTGCTGCGGCTAGACTTGTACTGAGTTTAAGTAAGTATTCGCATATTTCTTTTGCGCTTTGTCAACTTCACTGGTTACCAATAGAATATCGTGTTCATTTTAAGATCATAATTTTAACATCTAAAGCTATTCATAGATGGGCGCCTAGGTATATCATTGAACTAATTAACATCAAGCCTAGGTCTGTATATGATCTTAGATCAAATCAAAGTTTATTACTTGATCCTCCTAAGGGGAAAATGCTTGCCACGTTGGGGGACACATCATTCTCTGCTGCTGCCCCGTACTTATGGAATGCTCTGCCAGCTGAATTACGTGTTATTCAATCATTTTCCATTTTTAAATGCAAGCTGAAAACTTATTTATTTCGTGCAGCTTTCTCAAAGTACCCTGTCTGACAATTACTTTTATTAGTATTACTAATTAAGTTCCTTATTAAGATCCTTATTCTTAATTAAGATCCTTATTATGGATATTCCATATTATTCTTATTTTTAACATACATTGTTGATATTAATGTACATGTAATTAGTTTTATAAATTTGAATTTACTGTAGTATTCTAAGTTGTTAAGCGCTGTTGTTCATTGAATGAAAATAGCGCTCTAGAAGTTATTATTAAATTAAACATATTCTATCGTTCGCGTCACCTACACCGCTTTATATCACTCTTTATGTAATATCTTTTTCATTCCCTGATGATCTGATGCCGTAGAACGGCGAAAGCTTGGAATTTAAAAACAATACAGTAGCTCAGTTGAATCAATATATTTATCTACAAACATAAGTAATATGCGATACATTTCCGTATTTATATTTAAAAGTTTACAGTGGAAGTTAATGATATAGCATAGAGGTCATATCAGTGCTGGAAAGGGAGTGGTTATTTGTGTGTTCCAATCAGGATAAGAAGTAGTTTCGTGATTTACGTGGTGTGAGAACTGAACCTTACGATGCGTGTTACGTAGCCGATACTCACCTTAATGTTTATATTTAGAGCAGATTCGTTTTCTTGAAAACGGAAGCCCACCTTATACTTGATGGAGGTTTCCTCATAAATTATGTATTTTATTATTATTATATCATTATCATCATCATTATAATCATCATTATCATCATTATCATTGTCGTCATTATTATTATTATTATTACTATAATTATTATAATGATGGAAGAGATAATTTTTTAAAGTATTTTGCAAATTTCCCTTTTTTGGTCCGCAGTGCTTCATCATGTGGAGATAAAGGAGCCGTACATTTTAGTTTTATTAGTTATTTTGTGTATGTCACAGTGTCACTTTGAAGAGCCCTTTTAGCGGCAAATTTTCAGCTAAAGAAATTTTTAATTCCTTAAAACTTGTCTCAAATTCTTGAGACCCTTTACTAAAGAGATTGCGAGAGAATAAAAAAAGATAATGACAAAACTCTATTACCTATTCTTTGGAAGAAGCTATTTTCATCGCGTGAATGAACTTTCAACGTTTGAGTCAAAACAAAACAAAGAAATTGTCGTCTTGTAAGTAGCTACCAGTTTTCACGTTAAAAATTACTTAAAAGTTCAGATTCACTAGTTGATGGAAAAGGCTTACACAATAATAAGGTAATCATGGCTTACATGATTTAAATACAGTGACCGTCATTTCCGCTGTGTGAAAACAGGATTTTGCCTTCACAAATAAACGGACGGACAGGAACAACTCTATAAACTTCTTCTGGGATAGGGCTTTCCTAGGGGCACTCGCTGGCTGCGGGAAGACCGGGATCTATTACGGCTGTTAACTATCCCTCAGACAATGACTAACAACAACAAAGGTTGGCTCCAACGTAGATTTATTCTGCAAACCCTATTGAACTGACGTGGCCCTAATCTGGCCTAACCTAAAATAACTTGACCAAAGAAAGCTCTACAAAACAGCTCTATTAAAGCATAATGTACAAGAATCACGTAACGTACTACAATGATTGGGCTTGGTAGGAACTTCGCCTTTTACAAGATTAATTACTTTCGAAAATTTTTGGTGGATAACAACTACGCAAAAGTCCACGACAGGTGACAGTATGATCTAATAACAACTGTTTACGGTTGACTGAATAGGAACTGGCTTGACTTCATATATTTCGTTTTTCTCTGACCTACATTGCAGGTTCGGTAGAAATCCAATCTCTGCAGAGGTGAGTATCTTAGAATTCATCGAAGGCTGCACAACATTTGAACGGCCAATTTAGAACTGCAAGCTCACGAAATTTTATATTCTCACGACTAATTCTACTGCAACTTAATGGAGTTTGCTTCCAATATCTTTACCCTTATAACCTAGTAATATCAATAGTGTTGCAAAGCAAGCAATTTGAATGACTTACACGCCATTATGGGAATCAATTTCTCTTGGATATGATAAATGCAGTGTAACTATCAGTGTAAACTTAAATATGAATTCATACAATCTTCCCCTACATTTTTGAATACATAACCGATGTATTCTTGGTCCTCTCCTTTGCGCATAGTTCCGACTCTGACAGTAAATTAAAACCAGTTCCTTGCTCAACTGATTTCCAGGTAAGATTGGAAGTTAGAGGCTTAGTTATGTAATTCTGTATGTTAGTAAATTATACTGGTACACAATGGCGGATCGACGGGAGAAGTCCGGGGTGCCGGATTTCTGTACCTTATTTTTTAGCCCAAAATTAACTTGGCAAAGTTACGTATGAGGGTCCAACCCTTTTATCATATACCTATTCATATACTTATTTTTTTCAAAATTTTTTATTAGCAGGATGTGGAGGAAGTGATAAACATTCTTAGTTCTTGCTCACTGGAGAATACTCCAGTTAAAGACAAGGAAAACAATAGCAATGATAGGTAGGGAGTTTGATTGATGAAGATTTAACAACAAATGAAAAGCATGCTGGGTTGATAGACCTTTGCTAAACTAGTTATAGTCAATAAATTTATCTATTTATGTAATTAAATAGCTCAAATGAAGTACTGTTGATAACATTTGTTTATAAAGAGATCTTTTGCTTTAAAAAGCCCTTGATAGTAAATAAAGCAGTTATGATTTTAAATCGAGAAATCGGGTAGTCGAGATATCAAGATGTGCGTGTTAAAGTTAATGAAAAAAAGAAAAGAAAAGAAAACCGAATAATTTTTCGGTGAGAATGCATATAACCACGCTGTGGAGGCTGATTTATAACTGACCTCCCAAGTCAAATCTGATTGATCCTTTGCCAGCGTGTGTAATGTTTTCTTATAGTATATTGGACTTCTACACATCCTGTTTTTTACTTCAAGATGATTTGATCACCTGCGCTCTCATGCTAAAAACAGATCAAGAACTAGCTCTTTTCTATCGGGTCACGTTGACAACGGAGCACATTGATTCGCTCTTAGCACTGATGAGACAATAACAGCAGATAGCAGTAGATAGCGCTATTTATGCAATAGCGAAAATCAGACCTGAAAAAAATCAGGCCTGTACGGGATTCGAACCACTGACCTCTGAGATGCCGGTGCAGTGCTCTACCAACTGAACTAACAAGCCAACTGGGAGCTGGTCATTATGTTAGTTCGTAATAAACCCGTGAAGAGATGAGTCATCGCTTCACGGGTTTATTACGAACCAACATATGAGTTACTATTTCATGCCAGTCAGTCCTGTTTGTGTGGTTAACTATCCTCGGTGATCCATCAGAAATACTCTCAGGCTTTCTTGCATGATCATTTATGCAAAAAGTTGCCTTACAGTAAGTTTCACAAGATGGCGAATTTCGCGATATCGCCAATAGTAAATAACTGGATTCAAAGACGAATTTAAGATGATCAAAGTGCCTGTAGCGTAGCAGGCTGTTACTGTTGAGGAGTGTACCTTAAAAATTGCAAGAAGAACCCGACTGATCAAAGGCGGGAGATAGCACAACAGAAATATAACAAAAACATAGTACGAGAATCTAATTTTTAGCAAACATATTAGCGAATTATGCAAGAAGGCCAGTCAAAGGGTGGGCGTTCTCGCCAGGCTGAGAAACTTGGTTACTACGGAGACTAAACTATTACTATATAAAACTGCTAATATGCCATATCTTACCATTGTCATCTCATATGGCACTTCTGTAGGGCGTCGCATACAAGGAAAGGTTGAAAGAATTCAAGAGCGAGCACTAAGGATAGTTTATAATTCACATTCAGAAACGTACATGAACTTATTAGATCGTGCTAAACTACCTAGCCTTCTTAATAGGAGATTGCAAGACATAGTTATACCTATGTATAAGGTTAAATATAGACTAGTTCCTGATTTTATTTGGGACATTTTTAGTGCTAAGTCTGGTAAATATGATTTAAGAAATAAAAATTTTTATATTCTTAGGTTTAATTCTGTATTGTGCGGTAAACACTCTCCTTGGTATCTTGAACCATTTTTATGTATCAAACTGAAAAAAAAACATCACTGAAATTAGTAGCCTTTCTAGGTTTAAGTTTCATACTAGGCGTAAGGATCTTACCGAACTGATAAATGGCAACAATTGCCCCGCGTGCGTAATTTGTACCTCCTAGGTTATATAATCTATAGCTTATCTCTTATCATTAATTAGGTTATTCATTTACGTTGTGTCCCCAATTAGCGTCAGCTAAATACATTGACATGTGAATAAAGTTTATCATCATAATCATCATAAAAAGCATTTAAGGCGGACTTTTTCTCCTTCGCAGCTGCTAGTTTTTCACAATTTCAAGCTTGTGTTTGGCAATTTATCTGATTTTTGTGATATTTAACGAGTTTATAGAGATGGATGTATGCCATGGCCATCACAAGAAGTCCCGTATTGTTGCAGGCTACAGCCGCGATCCCGTTATTTTTGGAAAGTTTCATATGAGATAAAGTTGCAAGTCCACTCGTAAACCATATTAGTACCAAACCTATTCGCGCGCGTATATCTGGTACAAGTTGGTTATATCTTAAGGTGGCTCGTACCGGTTTTCGTCTTTTTGATGGTTTGTAACTTTGAAAGAATACAACAGAAAGACTGACCAAGGCCAGTTGAGCACTTTTACGGGGTCGAATTATATAATCATTGCTTATCTAAAAATAGGTGTCATTTCGTCACTAGCAGTTTCCATGGCAACGCTTTCATAGGTTTATTCAGACGCATTTTTTAGCTTGTGGCTTAGATAATTCAAAAACTAACCTGGTGATCCCATGATTTTTTTTGAGTGATTGCTTTTGGCACTTGAAAAGGAAAATGCACAAAGATTTTTAAAAAATTCTACGGAGTGGAATTTCAGAAAATCTAGAAAAAAGATAATTTTCAGATATCGCAAATTTCCTTCCGTAGAATTTTCTATTTTTTTTTTCTGATGATTCCTTTCGACGTTATTATCATATTGGAACAATAAAAAGAAAGGGTCACCGGACTTGTTTTCATGCAATAGCTTTCGTGAGTTTAGCAATTTCCACGCGCGTTCTCGCGCATTTAAAAGTCTGGATTCTATAAGATCGATATTTGCTCATGATCTGTTATAGCTACCGCTGATAATTGCGTGTGCTCGCGCGAGCGCCTACGATCTGATGTTTACAGACGTTTACTGCTAAGAAAATCATTTAAAGCTGTCAAAGAGAGAGCCTCCCGGGCTCATCTTAAAAATCCTACACACGACTTCTGGCTATATCATATTATTTTCCTTTAAGTTTCAAAGTCTTCTTCCACATCAGGTAGATCATCCTTCACTTAAGTTCTTCTTTTTTCGCCGTCGCAAGATTTCATATCGGTTGAATATTTCTTTTAGATGTGAAGTAAAGCAACCTTTACTTCTCCCAAAATCGTCTTTTTTATTTTAGTTTCTATCTCCTGCATTCACAGTGGCCACTCAACACATCAAATACA